CGGGGGGAGCTCCAAGTCCCAGAGATCCAGGCGCTGCCCCAGAACACAGGAACCCCAAGGAGACTGCAACCAGGAAGGCCCCCCGCCCCCCCTCGAGAGGCACAGAGGATCGCCCCGGGGGGCCACAACCAGCAGCCGGCAGAGTCCCTTGGAGATATCAGCGGCAAGCCCACAGGCCCGCCCGCAGCCTCCCACCCCCTAGCCGGCCGAGCCCGGGACCCAGCGACCCGGGACCCAGGGGCGACCACCCCCATCGGGGACACCAGCAGAGCCCAGGGACCCAGACCCCCACCAGGCAGCCACCGGGGATCTATAGGCAGATGCCAAAAATCTTAAACCCCCAGACCCGGTTGCCACGAACACTCAGGCAGACCAAGGCACCGCACTCCACACCAGGTGTGGCAGGGGGAGGGGAGACGAAGATCTATATCATCAAGAGAAGTCCCAGGAGAAGTGGAGGAGTCAAAGGCCCACCTGACATATACAGTCATACACAAACACAGTCACACACTCCCCTCCCTCATGCTCACACATGCACATATAACCCAAGACTTACAAAAATGCACGCCGGACACCCACTCATGCTCCCCATACACACCCTATTCACTCTGGTCCCGGTACTGCTGCACATGGGGTACAACCATCACCGGTTCCAAGAGTTTGACCCTTTCTGCTGGGGTGCTGATGAGCAGGCTCCCCCGCCCAACGCTGAGCACAGCAACCCCACCACCCCAGACCCCAACCAGACGGCCAGATCTCCCTCCTAGCCTCCAGCCCCCAGGAAGCCTAGCAACAACAGAGGTGTGCTAAGACCCCTAGTCTCCCTCCGCCGCCTCCTCCAATATAGTGTTGTTGTGTGTTGATGAGGTGTATTCCATGGCTGTGGTTAGCGGGCAGTGCAGGCATTGTCTGGTGCATGCCAGCTGATGCCACCACACCACCCCACTTGCACCCACAGCCCTCACCTCGACTTTTATATCTGGTCTTTGGAACTTCTAGAAGGTTCTGGTGTGTGGACCTGAGGGCTCGGGTTGGAGCATAACACTTTGACATTTCAGAAATATAGGGAGGAGCTTGACCATGTAGAGCCCTGAAAGTTCTAGTCAGGACTCTAAATGAACTCTAAAGTTAACGGGTAACCAGTGCAGAGACACCAGAACAGGAAGTGATGTGTGCTCTTCTGTTTGCTCCAGTTAGGAGCCTCGCTGCAGAGTTCTGGACCAACTGAAGGCGGTCCAGGGCTTTTTTGTTGAAACATGTGAAGAGTGTGTTACAGTAATCTAGACGGAGAGGAGATATAGGCATTGAGAACCATTTCAAGTAGGGTTGTCACGGTATGAAAATTTAACCTCACGGTTATTGTGACCAAAATTATCACGGTTTTCGGTATTATCGCGGTATTTTTTTAAACGGTGTTGCATATGTTCAGAAAGCATTGATAGTCCTGTTCTACACAAACTGAAATAGTTCTGAAATAGTTTAACAGTGTTTATTAAACCTAAAATAACACAAAGCCTTAGCAAAAGTGCAACTTTTCACAAGTAAAGGAACAAATAGCTTATTTTTCTGGAACATGTTACAGTAGTCAGTGCAGGTTTAAATTATACAAATCCAAACATTGAAACATAAACAATATGTAAACAAATCAATGTAACACCACTTGTTTTCTCATATACTTGTTTTCTTCATTATCAAAATGAAAATCTAAAACTCCAGTCCACACTTGACTTGAGCGCTGTACAAGTCAACCTTAAAAAATATGTATTTAAAATAAATATCCACTTTAAACAAATGACTAAAATAACTACTACACTATGTAATCAAATCCAAACGTTCAAGTATAAATGGCATTGAATAAGTAAACAAATCAATGACAAGGAACTAATTGTATATTTCTCTTCATCATCAACAAATAAGATGCTTCATCCAGCAACAGGGTGTCCGTGACACGGTTTAAATGCTGGCAGAGGACGCTGCGGCTGCAGTCTATAGTGACTCGTTGCATTCTCCCTCAACCAAAAGTCCTCGCGTCATGCATTTAAGCTAAAATGCTAATGTTAACTTACCTTGCACTGGCTGTAGAGACGTGGGTGATGGTCACGCAGATGTGCCATTAGATTCGAAGTGTTGCTGCCTTTTGCAGACGCTTGTTTCCTGCACGTTCTGCAAACCGGATAGCAGTCTTCTATTAACTGTCCCTCAGCATTTTTCAGAAATCCAAAATATGCCCATACTTCCGATTTAGTCTTCTTTGAGGGCTGATGGATGTCCTGGGCGCTGCCGTCTCCTCCTTCGGACATTATTTCAGTTTCAAAGTTTTGGTGCCGTTGCAAACTAAAAAGTGCGTGTGCGCGCCGCGGGAACTTCAGCTGAAGCGACGGTGGCTGGTAAGGGTCACCGCGCCGAAACCGCGGCCACGGTAAACCCACCGAGATAATATAGTTTTTTAAAAACTGGACGGTTATTTTTATTGTCAACTTTTTTACCGGGGTTTACCGCTATACCGGTTACCATGACAACCCTAATTTCAAGTATATAATCCATATTTTTATGGAGTATTACATTTTATTGAATACATTTATATTCTATTGACAATTTCAGTAACCACAAAGTTACAAAAAATTACTAGGGAAAAATAAGTTTGATGCATTTTGGCCTCTCTGGGCTTTGTACCTGTAACCTGGTTACAAGGAGGAGGGTTTTGACTTGTCTCCGCACATGATCAATTTAAACGTTAAGGCCAACAGGAGCCGTGGTCTATGGCGTCAGATGGGTGCCAAAACCCGTGCACGCGGAATACGCTGATGACAGTTGAACGGTCATAACTGTGAAAGATATCACTGGAATAAAAAAAAAAACCTTATATGTTATCTGTTGCCCTTGCCTGGATTCAAACCCGTGTCCTCCGAGTGAAAGTCATCACCTCTACCAGTTGAGCTATGACAGCACTAAGTAAAGATCAAATCAGATTTGTTCTTCAGCTACCCCCATTGTGCTCCGAGAGGAAACCAATGGGCCAATGAGGTAGAGGGTAAGGAGCGGAAAAAAACTTACCAATCAGAGGACAGAAAAGATCAGCAAAAGGCCACGCCTCCAGAGTGCCAAAACTCCCAACAGCCGAGCGAGCAGAATCAGAACCGAGTGCGCAGAAAGGCTGCCGCGTGCGCAGTGAGGCTGCTGCACGCATGTTTTCCTCTGCCGTGTGCTCGTTAGCCAACGCGCGCACGCAAGTTTGTCACTTGTGCACATCCTTGTGCGCTCACAGACACAGTTTGCTCCCTCTCAGTGTACAAATGACGTCTCATCATTTATATTTTCACTCAAGAGGTTCTAACTTCCACGCGCGAGTCCCGTTTGCACGCGCAATGTGAACCTGTGCACGCGGAATACGCGTGCACAGGTTTTGGCACCCATCTGACGCCATAGTGGCCTGGGGCCTATGACGTTTAGTGACCCATCATCTCAGGCTAAACAAAAAAAAACATTTTTTTATTTGTCAGGTTTTCAGTCAATCATGTTAGATCCTCATTTAAGGCTCCTGATTGATCCAAATTGCAAGTGACCTAAGTCAGCCATGTGACCTCTGGACCATGATCTCACCAATCAAACATTCTAGATAATTTCAGGGCGTGTTCCTCTAGATGTGACGAAACTTGAAATACATAGGTCAGTGCTCTGGATAACTGCTTTTGTCAGGTAAAGAAATGATTAATTGATTAAAATGTCGGGAATTTCCCAACATTTAATTTCAAATCTGTTATCCAATCGGTTTAACTGTTAAACGTCATCACCAATGTCACAAGTTCTAGTTTAGCTAGGTTTTAGTAGAGAAAAGCTGTTTAGGTCAGTGCTGATGTTCGGAACACAAACTGAAGAAGAAGAAGAAGAAGAAGAAGAAGAAGAAGAAGAAGAAGAAGAAGAAGAAGAAGAAGAAGAAGAAGAAGAAGAAGAAGAAGAAGAAGAAGAAGAAGAAGAAGAAGAAGAAGAAGAAGAAGAAGAAGAAGAAGAAGAAGAAGAAGAAGAAGAAGAAGAAGAAGAAGAAGAAGAAGAAGAAGAAGAAGAAGAAGAAGAAGAAGAAGAAGAAGAAGAAGAAGAAGAAGAAATCATTTCTATAGCGCCTTGTAGTCATCCTAATGAACTGAAAGCAGCTGTGCAACATCTGTATTGTGGGTGCTTGAAACAGGATTCAACACTGAGCAGCACTCATGTAGAAGGTGATGAAGAGGAAGGAGGAGTCCTGAGAACAGACCCCTGATGCACACCGTTGGTAGGACATGCCGTTGAGCCAGCAGATGCACCAGCATCTCTACTTTAGGTCAAACTCGTCAATTCTTCGTTGAGTTTGATTTAAAACTCAAGCTGGAAGATTTTATTAACACCAGTTACTAAATGCTGGAGCAGGTAAGATGACCGCC